GTGGCGGCGTGGGGGGGGGCGTGGGGGTGTTGGGCGGGGGGGGGGGGGGGGGGGGGGGGGCAGGGTCAGAAATCCATCCAGTTGTTTTAAAAGCGCGGAGCTACACTGTCATGTGCGTGGGGTGGGAGGGAGGAACTTCAGACGCTAACAGGGGACTGCAGCTAGGCCTTTGGAAAGGGAGCAAGCGGGACTCTCTGTGTTAAACCGAAAGAGCCTACGCCGAAACCGAAGATCTTCTCAGGAAAGGAGAAACGTGGGTCACCTACCAGGCGGCAGCCTGGCTTCCGCCGCCTCTGCGCACCCCGAAATACCGCGGGCGTTTCCTGCTCCGTAACACAGCTCGGGACTGAAAAGTGTCTGCAGCGCTAAGTGTGCGTCTTAAGTCTTGCAAGTGTGGTGAGATGCCGGTGACTTCTTTTGCCGCCCGGTTTTGGGGTGGGCGCTCCAACAGTGCAAGTTTTGTGGCCTTATGGCCTTCTGTGGCCTAGATCGGTGATATTGTGGAATGCAAATGTTAAAAGTAAGTCTTGTTCTCAAAATGCTGCATTAAATAGGGCAGCTGTAGTTACTAGGTGGATTTTAGTGGTTCAACAAAACACCTCTATTGAGGTGTTTTTTTTAAATAAAAAGAGCTGTTTCTCAAAATACTCCCATCTCAACCTGTTCAGACCATTTGCTACAAAAACTTCTTGAAGGTTGTGAGTATCAGATAGAGGTGGTTTTGTGTTGCTTCTCGTTTCACAGGTTAGAAAATATGTCTAGAATTCTCTTGCTCCTGTCTTCATGTATCTTAGATTCTGTTGTCTGCTGCTGTTTTCAGTATTGATGTAGAGAAACCATGTAAACACAGGTAGGTGCAAAGAACCTGGAGCCAAGGCCAACAGGTTTACCCCTCTTCTATTAGTGGAGAACAGGCATTCTAGTTAATGTCGTGCTTGTCATGCTGGGTTAAGAGTGGTAATTTGATCTTCCATGGAATGTGATGGTGTAATTCTAGGTCTTACTAGCCTTTGAGCTTTGGCTGCTGCCAAACAGATGCATGCTTGTCTTCCTCTGGTTGCAAGTGTTTGTATACCCTCGTGGGAAACCGGACTGGGGAGCCAATATGACTTCATAAAAAGCTTTTGGTTTTGTCCCCCCCGCCCCGCCCCGCCCCCCAGTGGGTAAGTAAGATTTAAACAGTTCCCTAGTCTGCAGAGAATCAAGCAGGGCATGGTAGGACCTCTGCTTTCGGGATGGTGTGGATTAGGGTGTTTTAAAGTGTTTAAACAAAACAATCTTTTGTCTCTGTACTTCCAAAAGATCCTAATAACTTGACCTTATTTGTGAAGTGTGTCAGACCAAAAGTCATGGCTTTGATGTGTGATCTCTTAAGACTGCTGTGCAGCTGGATTTACTGTTCCATTTAAAAATATTTCATCGGCTAAACAAGATGTTCTGTAACCATGTATTGTTATCATTTTTGGCTCTGAAATTCAACTATTTGTGGAATTTTTTTTTTATCTGGGCAGGTCTTAATCACAAACCTAAGAGGGTTTTTTTGAAGTTTTAATTTTTGTGCTCGCTTGAGACTTAAATTGCTACAAAACTACATCTTTTCTTTGAAAACTTTTCATATTTAGTGTCAGATGATATAGTTAGTAAAAAACCCCTTTTTTTCATAAAATTTGAGTAATGTGATTGCTTGCCAAGTCTTTCAGATACAAAATATCATAGCTGGATTCATTTGTTGTTTTTGTACATACCTGATAAGTTTACTTCAGTAAAATGGAAATCAGAAGTTAAAACTATTACAGACATTCCTTCTTCAAAGTTGATTTTCCTTTACATTGCAGAGATAACTAGCAAAATGATGATTGGCTGCTTACAGTAATTGCTCTAAAATCCATGATACGCTTTATGTGTCCTTTGTAGGAAAAATAATCCAATTTATTTGTAATAGACTTTTTTGAATTTCTAATTAGTAATATTCTACTGATCCTGTTTTTTGTAGGATAGCATTGTCTTCATTCTTACCCAAGCTTTCTGTCCAGTTGCTTCAGTAGGTCCTCATCAGTATTTATTTTAGATGCTATAAAGCAACTTACTTTGCTCTTGCTGCTTACATGGGCATCCTGAGGCAAGATGAAGTGGAATATGGAACGTTTTAACCAGATCTTTCTTCCATATTTTTGGTTTTTGCAGCCCTTCAGAGTAAGCGCTGACCAGGTGTATGGGTTATGGGACTGAAAGGAATTTCTCTAGCCAGCATTGCCGCTAAAGAAAACTTATCCCATAATTGAACTGCATGTTTCTATTGTTGCTTAAATTTAAGATCAAATATGGCTTATCACCACAACTTCAATCTCAAGTGCTGTTGCTTGTTGCCACAACAGTTGTTAGAAACACTTGGTTTTCAACTGTCATTCCAATTTTGACCTACTTCTATACGAACTCCGATTCCCACTATTTGTTCTAAGTAATACAAATTGAAGATCACTGTTGCTTAGAATTTAATTTCTGTGCAATTGAGTCTATGCATTTTTTCCCCCCACAGGTGTGGAAAAATGGCAAAGAGAATTGCAGAGAAGGAACTGACTGACAGAAACTGGGATCAGGAGGATGAAGCTGAGGAGGTAAGATAGACATTAGATCCCTCCCCACCCCCACCCCTGCAGGTAGTAGGGTAGTTATTTGCATGTGCTATTTATCTTGTGGGCAAAATCTACAGTAAAATTGGTTAAAAGTGTAGCAATTAAAGATAATTTTATATAAGTGATTTTTTTTTTTAATAAAGCTTCCAATATATGCAGACCATATGGCAAAGCAGCTTTTAATAGTTAAAATGACATCAGCAACTCAGGGGAAAGGAACTTTACATTTCTAAAGGGAACACCAGGCTTGTTAAAATGCATAATGCTTCTGAACTTTTCAAATGTGTGATGGGTATTTATTGGGTTCATAAGAAAAGCAGTTCTGATTTCTTGAGAGGCATTTTCTTCACATCTCATGTCTTTTTTTTTTTTTAAAGGTCAGTAATAGTTAATTTCAGAAATATGATAATTTGGAGTGCTTAGCTGAATGTCCCTACACAGCCAGAAGAATTACGCAAACAGTCAAATGATACGTTTCATCTGATTGTAAAAAGAGATTTTAATGTTTAGTGTCTCGTACTTACTCATGGCTCATGTATTATCTCTAAGCAAGCTGTGCTAGCTTCTGTGCTACTAAAAGTATTAAGTGTTTAGGCCTATAAAATGTGAGAAAGAAAACTGACAGTACTCTCCCAGAAATTTGAATATAAGAAAACTTAATTTCATCACTTATTACAGGGTAGTAATAAGTCATTAGCTGCCTTTGCTAATACTTGAACTACAGCAGACTGCAGGAGATTTATTTACAGCATGCATCTCAATATACCTTCTCCAAACTGAATTACTTGAATTATTTGTCATAATAAAACTGAGATTGCACGAAGGGAAATGTAATGCAGAACAAGAAAGAGTTTTGAAAGTATCAACTAATTGTCCAAGTAGCTGGCAAGCTAATCACAGTCCTATATTTTCTGGGTGTTTTTTTTTTTTTTACTCCTTCCCTTATTTGTTAGGGAGAAGTGTTACAGGTGTGTTCTAAAGCTGATCTCGGCCATCTCTTCAGAATATGAGGACTTTATGCATTCCGAGAATTTCACTAATGTTTCATAACTTCTTCTTAAAGGTGGGAACATTCTCAGTAGCTAGCGAAGAAGTTCTGAAGAACAGAGCTATTAAAAAAGCAAAACGCCGAAATGTTGGATCAGAGGTAACGTAATCACTGAGCATTAGTGTTGTAGTTTGACTCAGTTGCAAAATAACGACATTCGTGCTCAGGTTTTTATTTATTTGGGCTTGTAGTAATACTGTATAAAGCTATCATCTAGAAGGTATAGGTATATACTCTAGAAGAGTATAGAGCTATCATCTAGTCAGCTCATACATGCAAATTAGTTTTTACTTACTGTTCCGTAGCAAGAGTAAGGCTAGAATGAAAAATGGGTAATACTAGTATGGATTGGGTGAAGAGAGATGTGTATTTTTTGAAGTATAAATGCAGAGTGTTTCAGACACAGTGTCTTCTACAGATGGGTAAAGTAGCATTTGAACTGGTCCAGTTTCATTCTTTGCAGAGGTGGAAGCCTGGAAATCAAAAGTTACTAGTTACCTGTATTGGAGGGCTGGGGGATGTCTAAGGCAGATGCTAAATAAGTAAAAGCCAAAATATGAAGCTGATCTGAGAATGAAAAAGATGTCTTTTGTTAAGAATGCTGCTACTTCCCCTCCCCCCGCTGTGGTAAAGAGCTTTAGTGCCACCTACTCTTTGCAAATTGAAAATTGAAAGGAAGTTGGCCTTTGTTACAGGTTTAGTCCCTGTGAAAGCATTAACCCAGTCCAACCAAATTATAGTCCTTTCAAAAATCCCTGACAGATGCTTTGTCGTGTATATCTTTCTATGAAATGTTCTTTCAACAGGGCATGCGCCGTGTTAGAAATAGGACAGAAACTTTACCTATCACTCAAATTGCTTTTGGATTGAATGGGACTAGGCACAATTAGGGGCTAGATAGCTTTCTCCTGTGCTTTTGATTTTCCTTCTGCTGTCCAAGCAATGTAAATGAGGAAGCTGTCCTATCCCGCTTTGGCCTACAGTAGTTTTACCACAAAGGTGGTAGAGAATGCAGTTAATTAAAGGATTGTACCGGGAAGAGGTGGTGCAGGAAGTAAACCACAACTTGAACAGGAGGGATTCGGGGGCAAATGGAATGGGAAGAACAGAACTGGCTGAGAAAGGGGACCAGATGTTGTAGAAGAAATAGTCAGGAGGGTAGGAGTCAGCTGTTAGAGATCAAAGCTGGAAGAAGAGCTAGGATAGGCTGGGCAAAGTCTAAAAAGCAGAAGAGATGGCAGGACAGCTGAGGTTGCATAAGAAACCTGTGAAATATTTACAAAAAGGTAAACTTGAAATTTATTGATGTTCCTAAATGGAGCAAGCAGAACGCGGGAAAGAAAAAGACTGAAGTTTAACTTGAATGTCCAGAGAGAGAGGTAGGTAGGACTGATCAAAGAGAGACAGAATAAAAATAGCTATCTAGAAATGAGAAACAGAGGACTGAACTGGAAAAGGTAAAGCACAAAGAGGAACAAAAAGAGCCCGTACCCACAAGGCCGGATACTGGAATAGAACCTAAAATTGGTAAGTTTTGATATTTCTTCAGTGGCAAAAGCAGATGAAACTCGGAAGCAATTCTCCTTTTCCTCTGATGGCTTTCCAGAGACACTGAAAGCCCACGTCCAGTAATAAGTGCTCATTACCTCAAAAGACATGATATGTAGTACCTAAAAGTGGCAGTGCCTATTTGCATGTTAATTGCACTATATCTTTTAAAAACATGTAAGAAACTATACCATAAAATAATACGGTTGTAAAGATAGTGTTCAGAACTAGGTAATGAAGAGGCTGCAGAAAGCACACACTATGTTATCAAGTACAGTCTATCTTTGCTTCTCCCATCAGTCACATTGGAATATTTTGGGTAAATTACTTAAACGTTACATAGGTGACTACGAAGTATGCTGTTTTGATGAGTGGCTTGAAGTGCTGGACTCTTAACTGCGGTTGTAAATGCTAAAAGTTGCTGAAAATAAGCTGGCAATTATATATTGCCATGTAATTATTTAAAGAAAGCAAGATGCTATGAATGTCTAAATAGGTAGTCAAACACATCCGCTGCTCTGAACAATTTTTATGTATCCACTTCCTAGATCTAGTTTATTTTCATACCAAACATCTGAGTCCTTTAAAAGTAGTAGCAATATGTGTCATAAGAAAGCTATTAACTTTGTTTACATAGCTGACTTAGAATAATGCATGAAATGACACACTGAACCAGGGTAAACTAAATGGAATATTAAGTGGGGATAGGATTTTTGTGGAGGTGTATGTAACTGGTTGTCTCTTCTTTTTTTTTTTTTTTCCTTTTTTTTGCCTCCTCTCCTCAGTCTGAAAGTGGAGGAGCTTTTAAAGGGTTTAAAGGCTTTATATTGCCTTCTGGAAAAGGAGGAGGTGGCTTCAGCGGATTTGGTAATGGTGCAGGAATAAAGCCTTTAGAAGTGCTGTCTAATGGAAGCAGTAGTGTCTCTAGCACTCCTTCTTTCAGCAGTTTAAAGACCACCTCCGAAACACAATCGGCGTTTGGTAAGTTTTAAATAAGCATATTTATCAACAAATTCAGCCATAAAATCTGTCGGGTTATTTTAATAGTGAAAAAACAAATTCCAACAACCCTGTGGTTCTCTTCTAAGGTTTTGAGACTTTCTTCCTCTTTGTAAGATTTCTTAAAAAGATTTTTAGACTGCTGGAGGGACAAGTTATCAAATGCATGCAATTTTAAGAGGTGGAAACTAAATTCGTATTTGATCTGATACTGGAGGTAAAAGCTTTATAGGCACAAATGGGAATGGAAGACATTGGCATATGACACTCTCCGAATAGTATAAAACAGCTGATAACATGTTCCAGTTAAATAATTGTCCCAATTATCTGAATCTAATTTAAAAAAAAAATGCTAATGGAAAAAGTCCATTTAGTAGGACTGCAGTTTCTGTGTGATTTTTTTTTTTAAGGTCTTGTTTCTGTATTTTTTGCAGTTCTTGGTAAATATATGCTTCATAGCTAAAGTCTTAACCTTTTTCCCTGTACATCTTATATTGCAAACAGTCTTACTAGAATTTTATCTCTTAAAATGTAGGTATAAATGTAAGATGCTTGAAATATTTTGGCAATTATGACTCTAGTCTCATGCTTTAGTAGTCCCTGAAGAATATTAGTTCTATGCCTTTGTGTTGGCGATGCAGAAATGTTAACCATGCCACAGTGTTTGAGTCAGCATGCCACAGAATAGAAATAGTGGAGTTTAAAGTTTAGAGTAACTTAGATTTCAGTGAGCTTAACTAAATTAGGAGAAACTTAAATATTTAATGAGGATTTTCTTAATTTGCTTATTATGGTTTTTATATGGAAACCACTCAAAAATGTGCAAAATCATGGGCTAGTGTGTTCAGAGTTTTTTAAAGCACAAGTAGTAAGAGATAACAGGATATTTTGTTTTAATAACTGTTACAGCTTGGTAAAGCTTGAATTAAGATTATGGGGTTTTTGGTGAAATACAAAACTTATTTTTTTTTAATGTTATTCTGTAAGATTTCTTTGGATTTTTTTTATACAACTGTGTGCTCTATCTACTTTGTCTATCCCTGAACTATTTTACTTGTCTAAACTTAGCAAGCTTAGGTCTGTTTCACAGCATTGTCTGTTTATGTGTACCACAGTATCTGGTACACAGTGTTGCATCGTGATAAAAGACAAGGTACCTAACTGAGCAAGAATGAGTGATTTGATAAAGAAATATTGAGAACAGTTAGTTTACGTTTTTATGAGAACCGTGCTTTCTGGAAAAATAGAAGTTCTAAACCATATTTTTTTTCTAATAGGATCAACAATGTCAAATGGTCCTACTACTACTGCGTTTACTGAGAAAAAGGCTGCAAGCCCAAAAGCTAATGGTGGCAGTCAACCATCTTCATCTGGCTACGCTCAGAGTAAAGTTTGTAGCTCTAGTGTTTACCACAAACAGTTAGCAGCTTTAAACTGTTCTGTGCGTGACTGGATAGTTAAGCATGTAAACACAAACCCATTATGTGACCTGACACCCATCTTTAGAGACTATGAGAAGTATTTAGCAAATATTGAACAGCAACATGGAAGCAGTAGCGACAGTGGCTCTGAAAACGAAAGCAACAAGACACCTGGCTCTCAGCCTGTTTCTACATTTGGGAATTCAAAGGTACAGCAAGGATCAACTTTTTTGTTCAACAACAACAAAACTGAGGATCCCTCGGACAAAAAACCTGAAGCTGCATCCGAAAAAAAAGACCCATTGTTAGGAGCTACATCAACCGTCTCATTTAATTTTGGCAAGAGTGTCGACAGTTCTGTTTTGGGTTCCCTCAGTTCAGGAACACTTAGCAGTTTCTCATTTTCTCCTGGGAATTCAGGTTTGTTTGGAAAAGACGCAAACCAGGCTAAGTCTGTCACTGCAGTATCCACTAATGTACTGGAACCTCAGACAGAAAGTGGCAATAGCGATGATAAAGGTAAATTCTATTTAAAATTATTATTTTTAAGCTGTGAATGTATGTGACTTAAGAATACTGCAAAGATGAAATAATACTAAGTTGAACTAGATCATAATTGTTCTTGAATTTGAAAGTGCCAAACTGTGACACTAATCTGGAAACAATCTGTCTTGCATAGCATTTAAGTATAACTAAAAGTATATGGTTGTCAAAATCTATGTATTTGTCAGATTTATACTTTCTGTAATAGAATATAATTTTTTAGCTGAATACAAGACTGGAAGTGATTAAATTTAAAGCAACTGGTGTGTTCATCTTCGAGCCTGCAGGACATTTCAATCCTGCTGCTTTTCCCAGTAGGTTTATCAAGAGATCCCTCAGTACAATGTGTATGATATGGAACAATTTCATACATCTTTCTTACAAGACTGTAAGGCCAATAAAGTTGCATACTACCTGACAGTTTTACTCTGCTATTTAGCTAAGCTGGGTACAGTAAGCTGATAGAAATCCTAGCAGTTGAGGGACTGGAAATAATCCTGCCACTGTCTCTCAGCTGTTATTCCTGCAACCGATTACCCTTCCCCCAAATTAAACTTGGCAGTTGGAAGTATTTATTTTGCTTTACTTGAACCCATTTGTGGAGACTGTTCTTTGAAATGTTATAACTGTTTTCCCCCGAGAAAAGGTTTTGACTTGTTCAGCTTTGCAATTTTTGGTTTTGATTGTTTGGGGGGGGGTTTGTGTATTTTCAGCCCATTTAAATTGAAGAGGAGCATAACGTTGCTTGAGGGGTGTGGCCGAATGAAAAGAAAATAAGACTTTTTTCTGTAGCTGAAGCTGCTTCTGAGCCCACACTGATAGCTAAAATACATTTAAACCATTGACAGGATACACATGTATATGTCAAATACAGTGTGCATAAACTAGTTCTAATACAATGCCAAAAATACCTTCCAGATTATATGCTCACAACATTAATGTACTAAAACTTTTTATTTAAAGGAGGAGAAGAGGAGGAAGAAGAGCCACCAAAAGTCATTGTTAATGAAATAAAAGAGGATGATGCTTTCTACTCAAAGAAGTAAGTGATTTTAACTTGGAATAGTGAAGAGAATTGTAACTTTGAGAATAAAATTCATACCTATGTACTGCTATTCTTCATCACGGCAGTGCATAATTAATGATGTCTATGTTCTTGACTTCCTAGTTAATAAAGCTTTTTAGGAAGCCGTGCAGAGTATGAAGTTCCAATTGTAAAAAAGTTAATTACAGACAAAAATGTGTAAGACCTTACTAAAATTCTTGTGTATCTCAGACACAGCACAGATAGCTAGTTTGTGTTCTACTCGTGATCAGTTTTTGTTTTTTGTTTTTTTTTTTTTAACAAATGAAGATGATGTTTCTGTCTTCATCAGGTTTTGTAAGTTTAAACTGTAGGGCTTGTACCACAGAAATAATGTACTGTACTTCTGAAAAATCAGCCAGGTGCTCATCTATTTGCATAGCCTAAAATAAGACTCTTCAGTTGGAAAATGCTGATTGTTGTATGAAGGAGTGAACAAGTTGTACTTTTAAGTTCAAAGCGAGACTACCTAGAAGCAGTTTTTCAAAGCATGTTCAGTAGTCCAAGTAATTGCCTGGCTACTTAACACTTAGCACAGAATTTGTCTTTCTACAAAAAGTCATTTGCTTTATCTGAGAGAAGGTACGTGCTCGTTTATGAAGAATGGCATTAGGTTTATTAGAGCTTCACTTAAAAAACGTTTTTAAATTTTACATAAAAGTCCTATTATAACTTCAGAATGATACAGCAAGTTATTAGGGTTTTGTAATTAGTGTTTTTAAACAGTAGCTTACAGTTATTACTCCTTATAGACCCTGAGTACAGCTTGTTGTGCATTTTACTTTTCCCTGAAAGTAATATGTTTGTCATTTCAATACTGAAAGAAATAATTAACTTTCTCTTTCTGAACTGGAAGTACTAGCTGTTAGCACATGAAACAAGGTCAAGAAGAATAAAGATTTATGCTACTCACAGCATGTTAAGTCCTGATTATTGTTAAACTATTGGCTTACTGTGAGTCAGATGTATACATATATGTGTGTGTGTATTTGGGAGATATCTTTGTATTTAATCTCTCATATCTGCACCAACAAGTGTGTGTGTTTTCCACAGGTGCAAACTGTTCTACAAAAAGGATAATGAATTTAAAGAAAAAGGTGTAGGAACATTACACTTAAAACCAGCAGGAAATGAAAAAACTCAACTCCTGGTTCGAGCGGATACCAACTTAGGTAAGTAAATTTCTTCTAGTAGCCAAGTCTTGATGTGAAATTCCCTGCTAAGCATTAGGATTTTTTTGTTACACAGCATAAGACATGATTAGTGAAAACCTTTCTACTTTTTTTTTTGAATAATTTCAAGTATTGAACAAGCAATTGGATGCCTCTAATGAGTATTACAAAATAGTGCACGTGAAGCAGTGCAAAGAAGTAAAAGCCTATGGTGTGTGTTTGGGTATTTCCCGCCCCCCCCTTTTTTTAATAGCTTTTCTCCATCCCTGACTTGTTGGGTGGTTTGAAGCATGGCTTAAGATCCACAACGTACATGTACCGATACATGTATCGGGTGTGATGAATGAAGAGGAACAAATTTTGTGCTAAGATGCAGGCCAACTGTCACTTGTCTGCAGTTCATCCTGAATACGTAAATAGTTGGCCATGTGGGCAGACATCCATTGTACTTGGGGGTAAAGGGGAGTGTTCTATAGATCAGGCATGCAGGATTTTGCTATATGCGTGGCTCTTAAAACGCATACTGAAGTCCAACTGTTGAACTGTGTTTTAGCTAACTTCAGTTGGATCACAAATGGTAGGTTGACTCTATGGAATTAAGAGTAACCTGTAGCGTGATAGTTCCTCAATATCTTTTGAGATGAACGTTAACACATACAGCTAACTAAAGAGAAAAAACCCAACCATTTCTTTGCTTTTAGAAGTTAGGGGGTACTTGATGTATTGAAGTTTTTAAGGTGTAAATGTTCTGGCTGAAGAGTGTTTACACACTCAAACTGTGCAACCAATGCATTGGTGAGAAGCCTTGCTACACTTCAGTACCTGATTTCAACAAGCTTCCATGTGAGGTTCACGTGCACTTGGCAACTTCCATAAAATAGAATAAATATTACACTTATAGGGGACCTGAGGACTAAAGTCATGCAGGCCCTTGGTAAATCTCGCCTCACTTTCAGTTTATAATGCACTCTAGCAAGTCTGTATGAAGCCGCTGCAGGCCCATTAGGGGCAGTTTTCAAATACCTGGTGAGATTGGGACTCCTGTGTTAGTCACTTCTAAATCATTAACTTCTTTCGGCAGAGACAGGGTTTGCCAGATAAAGGGCAGGTCTTAGCAATAAAACTGAAGGCAGATGTATGGCAGAGCTGTCAGTGCTTTCAGCATTTCCTTGGGGATTTGAATGTGTCGAATAGAGCAGATGAAAACTTGATTTCTCCAAGTTACCTGCTCTTTAACACAAGTCTTGATTTTTCACTCAGCTGATGCTAGTTTTCCTGATGTTGATTTACATTCCCTCTACCTTCATCTGAGGTGATGTATTAGGAAATCTTTCCTTTTTCTTCAGCTCATACACTAAGACATTTCAGCTTGGTGTTTCCAAGCATTGGTTTCTAGAAGCTGCTGCAGTCATAGTGATGCACACTTTCCTTTTTGCTATCTTCACACAGTGCTATAATCCTTTCCTAAAATCTCACTGTGTTGAAAAACTGAACTGGAAAGGAAGGCGAAGACTGACTTTTCCCTAAACACTACTACCGTGTTCTGAACTATTTACCAGGTTTACAAAATGTGTGCGTCTTCCGTGGAAGCAGATTTGAGTTTGTTTGCAACCGTTTTAATAGACCACTAATACTGGAGCTGTCAAACTCGCTACATAATTTAACAAGTTGACGTACGGCTGTTATTAGTAAGCCGGTGGTAGACCACATCAGATGCGTTGTACGATTTGAGGATACAAAGTACTTATTCTCCCATAGTTTGTCCAAATTGGGATTAACGTGTCTGTCTGTGTGTTACAGCTAACTTTTTGCTTCTGCTTATGAACTGTGCTTGATGGTCAGAATGAGCAGCTGGCATAAGCATAAACTAAGCACTATGACTCGAGTCGTCATTTGCTGCTTCTCCCTCGTCCCCTTCCCTTTTTCCTGCATGTCCCTACTATAATTTGATATTCTTCAGACTCCTCCCTTTTTTAAAAGGAGGACACGGTATTTCCGGAGATTTCCTCATTCCTAATGAGGAAAGAAATCTGTGAGAACAGTGGCCACGAGCAGATGCTTAGGGAAGCATAAGACAAGTATATATGACATTTGTGAATTGCCTTCCTTCCAAACACAAACTTAAATCCCTATTTAGTAAGTATACTAACATCTGTATTGCAGTAAAAGCTGAAAAATTGCTAACTGCAATTTTTTTTCCTCCTCGTATGCAGGAAACATACTATTGAATGTTCTAATTCCACCTAAGATGCCATGTACAAGAACCGGAAAAAACAACGTTCTTATAGTTTGTGTTCCTAACCCACCGATTGATGAGAAGAACCCAGCTGTTCCTGTCACTATGTTAATAAGGGTGAAAACAAGCGAGGATGCAGATGAATTGCACAAAATCTTACTGGAGAAAAAGGAGGCTTAAATAAGTTGCAGTCAGTGATTGGAGGAATTATTGCCAAACTGCTGCTGCTCTTTTTTTCTTCCATAACTTCACTTGAACACTTAAATCTTTACTCTGGTATTAAGAACTGTTATAGGAATTCTGGAAAAATTCTGTGAGGAAAAGCTAAACTAGCTAATAAAAGCTTTAATAGAACACAAGCGTTGGACTGTGCTCCCTCATTTTTCAACATCTAAATGCAGGACCTCTTCTGGATAAAGCATATTGATTTACGTTAAAGCATGTGTTTTTAACACCAGTCGATTTGACCGCATGGACTGAAATCAGAGTACAAAAATATGGTACCAGAGCTTCCTCACAGACTGCGGTGCAATGCAACAACCTCCTGTTTTGAGAAGGGAGGATGTTGAAGCTTAACTGTTGAAACTGTTTCTAGACTCCAGGTTTTTAATTTTAATTGGCCTGTCACATTCTGGTGAGACTAATTTTTCAAACTGTCAGTGACAACAATGTACCCCAACAACAGTGATATCATGTATAGTGTACTGTGTTTTAACTCTTACAGACTCGTGTGCTTTTGGGACTTGGAGACTGCATCTCGAGATACTTAAAAGAAAATTTGCTTGCGTAGTCTTGTTGACAGTAGTGTTTCTTAGAGAAGAACTGTCAGTTCTGTTCTTACTGTAGCAACAAGCTAATGATGTGCAATAGTACAAGCAGACAACTGGAAGACTGTTTATCTTGGACCACAACCACAGCTGGCATTCGACGACTTCTGACAAGTCAGAGGCAAAGGGTTGCACTTCCATTATGGTCCCTCCGAGGTATTCCTCCCTAGTCCCTTGGGCTAAAACTGAAACCCAGCAGAGGCGGAGTCGTAAATGTTGTACTTGTCTTGCTACTAGTACTTTTCTGAAGAGAGCTCTTTTCACAAACAAATTTCAGGATTTTTATAGATCTTTATATTGCCTCTGGCCATTACCGAGAATACATGCGTAAGTGTGTGTGCGCGTCAGTAATTATTTTTCCCGTGTGCTAAAACTACAGTGCTTTACTGCATTACATTAAGTAAACCAGTAGTTTGCAGCTTTAGGACAAGCTTTCTGTGGCAAAAGTAGGGAGCGCTGGGTTAATCTATAACTTGGCTTTCAGCTGTGTTAATTAGCCACGTGGCAATAATTTGTGGATCAACATCATTCTGTTCTTGGTTTCCATCTCAACTTTATCACACCTTGTTTGGTTATTTAATCCTTTTCTTTTGCAAATCTTGTTTGCTGGAAACTCCTTCCCTAATAATTGTTTTTCTGCTTCACTTCCAGCTCTGGAAACTATCCAAGAGCTAGATGTTAATATTTATTAAATTTGAGCTGCTCCCTGAACTGGTCTCACTGACCAGCTCTGGGGAGATGGAAGAAACATGCCAACCTCTCTCTGGCTGATGCGGCACAGAGGAAAAAATCCTGTTCTTTAAAAAAAGCAGCATGATGCAGTTCTCACAGGGGACCTGGAAATCCACAACAGTGGCATCCTGTGGGTGGGGAAAAAGTAGTAGCACCATTGATCAGATGCAGCACATCCTATCTGCTGCTCTCGGGGGGGGGGAACAAACAGCTGCCTTGAGTCCTCATTCACTGCACAATTCAGGTTATGGCCTTTTTTCCCCCTCTTAACTAAAAGGAGGAAAAAAAGTATAGGATCTATAGCCCTCTTGACCAAAGTTCAAAAACAAAGGCCTTTGCTCACATTTCAGCTACACTGAGGTCACAGGAATTGCATTTTTAAGACTCGAGTGTAAAGGAAGCTTAGATACAATTTCAAATATTTGAAATACAAACTGGTGCCTTTTTTTTTTTTGCATCTGGCTCAGTACTTAACCATTAAAAGTGACATTACTTTCCTCAAAATAATGTGCTTTTCTTTAAAAAAAAAAAAAAAGTCTTGCCGATACCTAAATTGGAGGCCAAAAGCTGAAGGCTTGCATGTTAATTGTGTATGAATGAAAAGCAGAACATTGCCTGAAAGTTTATTACAGGCTTAGGTTTAATGTCCAAGGGCTCAGTTAATTTTGCGTTTGTCATTTGACTGTAGTGTCTTAAACGTGTCTCCGTGCAGAAGGGTTTATGGACTAGAGCGCTGGCTGTGGTACGCGCATCCCACTTCAAGAGCAACTCTGTAGAGATTGTACTGGCGGCCTTGGGTTTGTGTGTGTTACTTCCGAAAGCTCACCGATACCTAACTGTTTCTTCATCCATTGAAATGCGGACCAATTAACTTAAACAAGTGAGAGACAAACTGAACTCCCTGCGTATCCTTAGGATTTGCTTCCGAAGGGAGGCAGCCTGGGGCTTTTGCACGCATGTATTTTGGCCCGGTTCTAAAGCTGGCAAACTGCGTAACGGCTAGTGCACCCCCGTCATGTTTTCAAGGGTGGACATCCTGAGGGCGAGCACAGAGTGTAAGGAAAAAGAAGTAGAATAATAATAAATTGTGTTGGAAAAACTAAACCTTAGAATACCCCTGCTAGCAAGTAATCTCTTCTGTTAGCTGTGGGAAAGACTAATTGAGATGAGACACCTTAATTCTTTAGCAACGTACGTATTTATCAGTAAAGCTAGGGGAAGGTATGTAATTGGAATCTCGTGTTAATTAGAATGTCAAACATATGCATAAGCATACAACTTTCCCCGTGTAAAATGTTTAAAGTTGCCACTAAAAGAACAGGGAAGAATTTTACTGCAAATTAGAGGATTTAATCAACATCATTCGTAGTGACCCTGCAATTACCTGGACTATGAAGCAGGAAAAGTCCGTCAGTCATACACTTTTCACTTGGTGTTCAGTTATAAAGCACAACCCTTCTCCGGTACTGGTGCAAAAACAAATTTTTGATGATGCTTCAGGTTCTAGTTAAGAAATATTAAAATACATAAATACTGTAAGAGGCCAGAAACTATTACATAGAAATAAAGGCCTAAAATGAGTTCAAAAGTTAGCGGGGAGCATAGAAATCAATATACTAATGCCTTCATAACGAAGTGGCACATGCTATACAAGGAAGGAATTCTGATCAGAATTCCAGCTCGATGAGGCGTTCATTCCTGTATCGTGGTAGATGATACTTAATATATTTAACAGCTGGATATCAGATACCCAATGTTAAAGATGCAAGTTTCCTCCCTAATTTGAGTTAATGCCTTCACTTGTTTCAGCTGTACATAGGTGCTGGAGTGTCTTATGGATCACGCCTTCTTCCTTCTGCTGTAATTTTGAAGTTTCAGCTCCTTAGAAATCTTTCCCTCTCACCTCCCCAAAATAGAAGAATCAAGATCTCTGCTTCTTTTAATTATCAGAATCGTCTGTAAGGGAGATTATTACAGTTGGTTTGAATTTTATTTTTAAATATTAAATTGCTATATGCAGGGGTTTTTTTTGTAATGTACTTAAAATTATCTTTTTGGGAACACAACAGCGTGTTCCTGTAATCCCTTTTGGTTGATGGATCTGAAAGTTTAAATTAAAATTTACAGTTCAAATGAACATGTTGTAGAACGTAAACCAATTAGGAAGTATGCTTCTCTATTAAGAACTTCAATTCAGCTCCCTTTGCAGCACTGTAACATTTAAAATGTCCTTAAAGACTTTTTTTCTGATGCCTTAACTTATTTGCATTTGCTAAAATTTTGTAGCTGGTGCCTGTGTGCAGAAATTAACTGACATTAAACAATTTAAAGTGGCATGAGCTAGTGAAAATCCAATGAAAATGCTGAATGTGACGATTTGTTAATTGTTAAGAGATTTCAAACTGCTCTGAATTTTTCGGTGGATACTTAAGTTTCACATAACTTGTCACGTAACAATGTTTTCATTAGTTCTAATACATTGAGGAAGTGTACAAAAATCCATGGAAAATGTGAATAAATGAATGGGCGATAAGCGTCTCGTGTGTATCACTTCCACTTTGAGCGTGTAACACTATTAATAAAATGAATTTTACAGTCGGTTGCTTGCAGGTGAACTCCTGCCTAGCAAATCCCCCGCACGGCCTTACTGCTGCTAGGAGGAGGAACGTGCCTACTCCGCCCCTTCCTCCGGCCGGCTTTGAAACCTGTCAGCGTTGCTGAGAGCCAGTTCAGCGAAAACGCTTTCTTCTCGCAAGGCCAGTGAGCTGGATCAGCTCAGAGGGAGGCGCTAGGGCTGCCTTTCACCAGAGGGAGAAGAGCTCGTTCTGACCTGCTAAGGGAATGACTGTAGAGATCCGTCTCTAAAAATCCCCCTCCACTGGAAAGATTTAAGAGCAGAAGTAATCTGTGTTTGCCTGATGACATACGTAGAACTTATTTTAGATCTAGCCTAAAAGCGCTATCCTCAAGCCAGGCCACAGAGTGATTCTTCCCTTCATTGGTTTGTGACAGTTTGGCAAAT